CCCAGATAAAGTGGCCTGTACTGGAATGTATTCACAAAGGCAGATGAGAGGGCCGTAGGGGACGGTGGTCAACGTTCTAGAAGAAGACCGGGTAGAACTGAACCTCTACTCACCCATGAAGCTTATGGAATGTTCAAGAACATTCACCCCTCGGCCTCACTTGACATGGTTGTTGTGAAGAGTATAATTAGCACAGAGTGAGTCTTTTGAGTTTCCTGGACAAGACATGACATAGAAAAGTAATAGATCAGAGGGTGAGCAAGCTGTCTTGACTTATGCATAGCTTGGAAGCATTACTCCCGCCGACAGCAGGGATAAGAATGCATTAGATTTAAGAAACTGACGTTAATGTTTTTGGTTTCGTTATGAAACCAGAAGCCAAACAGATTGGTGCCTCTGATCGTTTTAAAGAGGATGCTCGAAAAGTAACATTGTAATGCATCATGGGTAATCTTTGGTCAGGCCAGCGAAGGCAACGCCGGGATATTCCTGGCAAAATTCGGAGGCCCGTCAAGTGTCTGTCCTCTTTGATTCGCTGGCCCTCTGGGAAAAAGTCCAAAAGGATAATGACAAATTCTGCTCGTAATAACAGTTCTTCTAACAATTCTTTCAGTCATTCGGTATGGAAGGGGATTTCCAAGGGGTGAATATAATGGCTAAAGGTCCTTCCCTCCCCATCCACCCACCTACCCAGTCAATTCATTCAGGAAAGGCCAAGAGCAGAGTCTGTCTTGGAAATTGTTGTGTTTTTCAATAATTAACCCATAATTGAGTTAACACCTTTGGAATGAAACGTTTAGGGGCAGAATTAAGCAGGGGTTTGTTTAGCCTTCTACCCAAACATACACACACACACACACACACAAATATGTATGTTGAACCAGAAGAGGGCATAAAACATTGAATGAAAACCAGGTGAGATTGCTTCTTTTTCTTTTTTTAAAAAACGGAGTCATTGTGGAGTCGGAGAGTCACCCAACGGAGTGTGAAACTTGACTTCAAGCAAAGGGAGGTTTTGAAATGTCTCGGCGCATATTATTAGGCCTGTTCGGATGGGGTGGTGTGTTTGTGCCTCGTAAATCTTACCCGCTGGAGGCTTCAGCTCAGAGAATTAATATGTGATTTAGCCTCGGCTGTTGCCAAAGCGTGTTTTGAATAAGAAAGCGGGGGCGGGGGCAGCTATAAAAGTCCCATTTTGCTTAAGTGAGAAAAGACAATTAGATTTCAATTAAGAAATGTGTCAATATTGATATATATATATATACGCTGAAAAGCAACCTGGTGTGCATCTGGAACTGCAGTGCCACATAGTGAGAGCTTTTTGAAAATGTCTCCCCCATCAATTTTTTTGGGGGGGGTTTCACAATTAGTGCACGGATGGCCTGTAAGTGAGGCTGGAGCCCCTGATTTGGTTTTAGAATGTCACAGGTTCAATTGCCCACTTCTCCAGGCGAAAGAATCTGATATTAGGTGATTGGGGCGGGGGGAGAGAGAAAAACCCACAATGCTGAGGGCGACCGCCCTTTAGAGGGGACAGGATTGGGCTCAGAGAATGGAAAAGATCATTGTTTTGACCTCAAATTTCCAGGATCCTCCAACCAACAAAGGCAAGCCAACTGGGAGGGTCTGGAAGTGATTCCCTGGATAGTGGGTAGTGGTGGTGGTGATGATGATGGTGATGATGACAATGTTCTGGGAGTTAAGGATGATGAGGATGATGTTCTAGGAGTTAGGATGATGATGTGGATGAGAATGAGGATGATGACAACTGTTCTGGGAGTTAGTCTGAGGAGGAGGAGGAGGATGACATTCTAGGAGTTAGTCTTGTGATGATGATGATGACGACGACAACAACAGCAACAACACTCTGGGAGTTACTCTGATAATGGTCATCATCATCATTGTCATCGTCATCATGATAATCGTCATTATCATTGTTTTTCCAAGCTCTGGTTCCGTGTATAATATAATCTGACATGATATCTAGGCAATGTCCAAGATTCCGCAGCCTTCATTAATGACTTGATAATTAATCACCGCTTCTTCCCCAATTACCGAATCCTCAAGCCGAGGGATCTTCGTCTTTTGGTCTTCCATGTGTTTAGGGTATGTGTTCATTATATTCCCATAATAAATACGGCAGTGGGCAGAATATCAATATATTACCTATAGTGGGCTGAGATCTATAGATTAGATGCATTTGTTTGGGATGCGATGGGATCAGATAGGAGGTCTATTCCCTGGAATAGCAGGAAATCAACATACGAGACAAATGACATGACGTGGAGTGACGTGGATTCAACTGCGATGAAATTAGCCCCTTCCTCCGGCAGAGTCTAAAGACTTGGTCACTCCTTACGCTCCTCTTGTGCTCGATGACCGCTCACCAAGGGCAACTGTGTGCCAAAATGAATACCATTCTAGCCTCCAAGCATCCTGATCCCATCGTGAAGGTTCCCATTTGCTTTGCACCTCCTTAATTTATCATTTCGCCATGCAGAAACTCAACGTTTAAAGCAAGGGACCCTTTCCGCTCCGTTGGCCAACGGCTGATCCTGCCCGTTGGGTGGAAGGATGCGGGTGAGCTTATATTCCCTCCGCCTGAAGAAAAGTCTCAACTGTTCCAGAGAGACAGCTGTGCCTTCTGCAACTAATTACAGCTGTCTGGAAGATTTAAACCCTTGGCAGTAATAACACCTTAAATATTGCTCTTAATTTTTAACACTTTCACAGTTGGGAGATGTCATCGGAGGCAGACGGGCGGTGGCATCGCGGGGGTGCAGCTGTTCCCCGGGCTGAAGAAGGAAATTGTGGAATGCTGATGTAAAAAAGAAATGGCTCTTAAGTTTTGGCAGGCAGAAGGCGGGATTGTTGTCCATGACTCTCAAGTTGACCTCTTTTTTTAAAATGCCCTGCCTGCATCAGAAGTATCCGTGTGGCTGTTCATGGAAGGGGCAAAAACAGAAGGTCCATAGATGTGTAGAGAGTGTGTTGCCACTAAGCGGTTACAGCAGCTTGGACCCACTCTCGTGGCACTGATCCTACGAGATGCTGGGATGGAGACTTAGAATTTTTCACACAAGCCCAGCAGTCTCCTGCACTGTTGCATCAGCTGAATGCATGTTGCGGAAACTTTTCTGGAGTGACCAAAGCAGGGAATCTGAGGTATCTCACACGAATGGCCCTGGATGTGCATTGAAAGAGCTGCTGCTCTGTGAAATAGCGCTGCTTCGCTATACCACTTCATCAATGCTTAATGATTTAGTAAGTCCCAGAAATCTCCAGCCAGGATGGTTTGGAGTTGCGGCCCCAAAGTTTCTCAGTTCTCAACTTCAGTCACAAGACCTCTCCCGAGCAGCCCTCAAGACTTACTGTGTTCCACTTCCCATCCTCCCTAGCCATCTTGGATGGGGACAATGGGTATTGGAGTGAAGCCTGTCTGAACACTCCAGAGTTGGCGAAGGCTGCAAATAGGAATTATATGGACAACATGGGCTGCTCTCCAAAATGTAACGCTCTGGATGTTAGCACCCCAGCCTGGGTGTTTTAAAGAAAAGTGGAGAGCATTTTCTCTTCCTCCTCCTCCTCCTCATGTAGATAATGAAAAAAGCAGCTGCAAAACAGGCCAGTTGTTGGGGCGGAATAGAGATTTCTCAGGGACAGCAGCGTGGAGACAAATGTGTGGTGCAGAGATGGGATTTAGGGAAGGATTGTGTGAAAATGGAATGGTAACCAAATACTTGTTGTTATCATGAAGCGAGTATGTAGGGAGAGATGGCCTTTTCCTGCGAGGAGATGGGGGGATTTGGAAAAATGTCCCACTCCCAACCTTTCTGTCAGTAGGAGCTGCCGCGCAAGTGTTTCTTGATGGCAACGAATTTCGTCCCGGGGCGCACGTTTCCATCAGCCCCGAAATTTTGTTGGCCAACAGCCAACGGCCATGGAAACAAAGATCTTCAGCTTGTTTTGACGCAGGGATGGGGATCGTACGGCACCCCCCTCCCCCACAGAACGCTCTTTCGAGCCTCCTGTTATGCTACCTAATTTCAATAGCAACCACGATAAGTGATATGGATATTTTGAACACAAAGCACCAAGGATTGGGGGGGGGGTTAAGTCATGGGTCTCACTGTCAATTCGGACTTCATTCGCACCGGTGACTCGATTCAGAACTCGAAACCCACTGCCCCCCTTTTCTTTTCTGGGGCAAAAAAAGGAGCTTATTTTTAATAGGAACTTGGAACTTGGTACCACAGACTCAAACTTGGACGTGGGATTTGGGCCCCAAGACTTCTCAACATGCCTGTTAAGCAACAGCAGCATTTGGCTTCTCGAAATGCATTGTAGTGCCACTATGCATTTAAATCGGGTAAAATGCTTGATTTAAATGTTTGCCCAATGTTCCTACTAAGGTCAATTGACCCTCAGCAGGACCCCCCCCCAAGAAGGATGAAATTGATCCTGATCCCCCTAAGTGGCCCCTGATTGAAAAGGTTTATATTTCAGTTTGCTGTGTTGGTCCTCTGGCTACTCTCCTCCATACCTCTGTATATCTCATGTACATTCAACTTCCTAGTCCTCGTTACCCTTGCCTGCCCCATGCTCCTGCTGATTTCCCTACCTCATTCTCCAAACTCCACACCACTCCCTCTCTCCATGTCTCTGTGCCCTTGTTCCCACCCAGACGGACATTGGGGTCCTCTCTGAGACTCTTTATCAGCACCCTCTTGTTGACACTTTGGTCCTGAGGAGTTGGAATACTTGTGAGCATTCCGTGACAACCCAGCAGCCCATCTGATCCCTAGAGAAGGGCCTGAAGGTGGTTGAACCAGGGCCCGTTCCTATTTAGGATATATATATATATATCATCTCCTCTGAATTAAGCTTGATCAGAGTGACATTGGCTTACCACTCGGCAGTGCAATCAGAAACACGTAAAGTTTCCTCTCATTATTTTAGCTAGACTCAGCGGCTATAGCTGAGTAGCAACCCTGAAGGGCCAGGATGGGGAGAAAGGAGGTGGGGGAGACAAATCCGCCGGCTCTCCCTTACTGCCCAGCTCAATAGCTGGTTTTGTGTTTGAGTAACGAAGCAGGAAGGTTCGGAGCGAGCACAGACGTGTGTCTGACATTTTTATATGGTGGGGGTTATTTTATGAACTTCTCCGTCAACAGCGGGGCAGCGATGAAGCTTCGGTCTGCCCTGCCCCTCCATGCCTGCTTGTTTTACGTCTGCAGGAGGGTGGAGGGCTGCGGGTGCCGAAATTGTGTCCTGCAGGCGACAGTGCCGCTCCAAAACCCTTAGGCGGCATTGTTGAGTACTCAACTTTCCATGTTTCACTTTTNTGCCCTTTCTCTTTCATTATTCAAAAAAAACACACACACACACACACAATATGAAACTTGCCTCTGGTTCCTTTTCTGCCCACGTGCAGAGATCTGCTTCCCAGTCGTACCCAAACACATTCTAGCAATTAGAAAAGCTGAGTGCTTTCAAGGGAGTTGCAGAATTGGGCTTTACCTCTGAGGAAACATGGAAACTGAGTAGGGAGGCGCTGAGTACCTGCAAAAAAAAACACACACACACACACACAATATGAAACTTGCCTCTGGTTCCTTTTCTGCCCACGTGCAGAGATCTGCTTCCCAGTCGTACCCAAACACATTCTAGCAATTAGAAAAGCTGAGTGCTTTCAAGGGAGTTGCAGAATTGGGCTTTACCTCTGAGGAAACATGGAAACTGAGTAGGGAGGCGCTGAGTACCTGCAAAATTTTCCATTCTTCACGATCGTGTCTTGCCAAGATTCCCTGATGCCGTTTTGCCCTGTTTCATGAGATTTCCCAGCTTTCCGTGAAAAAAAAAACACCTCGGTCTCGTTACTTCTTTTATTGGCACTCCTACCGTCCTGTTGATCCTCAGAACAACCCTTTGAGGCAGGCCAAGCTGAGAAACCCTGGGTGGCTCACGGTGATCCGGTGCGGCTCCTGGCCAAGTAGGAGTTTGAACCCAGAACTGTAATAAGGACCCACCTTGGGTCCTTTTTAAGCAGAAAGACAGGATAGAAATGGATGGATGGATGGATGGATGGATGGATGGATGGATGGATGGATGGATGGATGGATGGATGGATGGATGGATGGATGGATGGATGGATGGATGGATGGATGGATGGATGGATGGACACCACCCTATTTTTCTAAATAACATATGTGTGTGTTTTCTTTTTGAGAATCTAAGCAAGACTCATAAATGTTATACTTTTGAGCTAGAATTCCCCGAATCGTACCCCTGGCGGGGTCTGGTTGTAGTTAAGAACAAAACGAAGCCAAACCAACCAACCCACCTCTCTAAACTTCAGCTGTGAATGAAACGTTGGTTCTCACCCTCTTGGTGTTTTCTTCTTTCCAGGTGGATCCGAGGAGAGCATTTCAAGTACAGGTTTAGCCGACCGGGAGGGAAGCACGCTGGAAACGGGAAGTGGTGGATCCGGAAGAGGATCGGGCCCTATTTCCCTCCGGTCGATCTGAAAGGGTTGAGGAAGTTTTTCAAGGCCCGAAACTGGCCTTACCGGGCGCAGAGTTGACGATGGGACGGGATCAATGAAGATGGAGGACGGTGACCAAGGACTGCCCTGACATCTATCAACTCTTCATTGGTGTTTATATGATTTTTTTTCCCCATCTCCCACGTTTTGCACTAAAGAGCATCAGGCGGCATAGACAAGGTCGCTTGGCTTGTTTGCCTGACATGTTCTGAGTTTTAAAAAAATTGTTTAGTGGTTCTAAATGGTCAGGGGACCTGTTAATGACAAGCAGTCCATTGGTTATGCAAATAATAAATGAGCACATTTTGTTCATTGGGATTTCTGGCCTGTTTGGTGAACCTGACCTCAGACATTCATCATCACCATCATCTTAGAACTGCACAGCTGGAAGGGACCCTCTGGATCATGAGAGTCCAGCCCTTGTCAGGGAGAATCCCAGTGGGGAATCGAACTTCCAACCTTGGGCTCCACAGCCGGAGGCTCTAAGCCACCGAGCTATCCAGCAGTTCGTTTGCAAGAGACCAGTCACCACCTTCATGTCTGGAGCACACATACAAATGTAGTACACTACAAATGGGCTGGTATTTAGCAAGGTTAAAGGTAAAGGTAAAGGTTCCCCATGACAATTTTTGTCCAGTCGTGTTCGACTCTAGGGGGCGGTGCTCATCCCCGTTTCCAAGCCATAGAGCCAGCGTTTTGTCCGAAGACAATCTTCCATGGTCACATGGCCAGTGCGACTTAGACACGGAACGCCGTTACCTTCCCACCGAGGTGGTACCTATTTATCTACTCGCATTTACATGCTTTTCGAACCGCTAGGTTGGTGGGAGCTGGGACAAGCGACGGGCGCTCACTCCGTTGCGTGGATTCGATCTTACGACTGCTTGGTCTTCTGACCCTGCAGCACAGGCTTCTGCGGTTTAGCCCGCAGCGCCACCACGTCCCATGTATTTAGCAAGGTTAATCACAGTAACACAAGTATGGCCCAAGCCGTCTTAATACTGTCTCTCCAGAGCCAGGGGATGCACCAGAGAGTTGTGTGCCCCCATCTATGACTAACTTGTGGT